TAATATGATGAAAGATTCTTCTGCCAACCTTGTCAGTAATTTCAGGAGCTGAGTATTCCAGATGTCCCCTTTCCTGAGCAGCAGAATGTATTATTATATACAAAGAAAACTAAAACAGTAAGTCAGTAATCTAAATAATTAATGAATTCCTACCCAGTTGTAGAAGAGAACCTGAGTGCTGCTGTTGCTGACCAACTGTGTGTTGTCAAAGGGATTGAAAAGTAGTTGATTCTGGGAAAACATGGGAAAAATTAATTTGATATTTGATGTGACAACCAGTATTCATAAAGAAAAAATAAATGTGTAATTATGACATTATTGTTTTTTAACTCTATGTGTTACCTCTGTGTAATAACCACATCAGTGCACAGTTCTGCAACATACCTGGCAACCATATTTTGGGCTGAGGTCAACTTGACATTCTGGGCTTTCACTTTCATCTGTCCAGTTCCAAATACACACGCGCTGATGCACAGAAAAAAAGTACATCGATCAGTGTATTTGTAGCCAGTGATAATATTCTGTGGTTTCATTTGATAACTGCAATCATCTTTATTAAACACATAATAGATGCTGGGAATACATCGCTCCTCATAGAAGCATCTAAGACGACAAAAGATATCTACAGTGAGCCTATGTAAAAATATGATCGACAACATAAAATGTTAGGTTTCAGACCTGTACTGCTCCAGCTCCAACAGTCACCAGGTATTTTGAATCCTTTGATAGGGCCATGGCAGAAACTCCACCCTCTGGATGACAGTCAAACAATGTCCGCACAGGAATCCTGCAACATGTTATGGATCGGAAAGAAAAGAAAATGCACCCTGTCTATTTTGTAAATTCATGTTATAGATCTTATTGTGAATTATCATAATTCTTAATCAAAATGTCATAACTTGATTTTACAGTGATGCGACAGACTTCTCTCTGGTGATATATGCCGGACTTATCCAATCGTTTAGTCTGCCTAAACCCCACTTTCTTACAATCGACTGCAAGCTCACATTCAGCTGATTTGCCTCCATCCAATCAATAGAACCAAATCCAGCCCAACATTTATTTATTTTCAATAATCCATTTAACTTGGATGTACGTCAAAAAACTATGACTTTAACAGGACCATCAAGCAGATTTACACAAATAGTATTAATGGAATGTACAATATTTGGGTCAGTGTTACCCTGTATAAGCATCCCATATGATAACTAGACTCTCCTGGCCCATGTCAGCTGTCACAAGCCAGCGTCTGTCTTCACTTGCACACAAACACGTGATTGGACTGCAGTGGCCCTGTAAATAAATGTATGCATTTTATCCAAAGCGACTTACAGTGCATTCAGGCTATACATTTTT